CCTTACGTAACGCACGTCGCTGCTTTACGTAACGCACGTCGCTGCTACACGTAATACGTAAAGCAGCTAGGCTGCTATACGTAACTTACGTAAGGCTGCTACACGTAAAGCACGCTGCTGCCTTAAATATAAATGATTCGCAAAAAGGTCTTGGATTTCTTGACTAAAAAAAGGGGTTTAAGGGGGTCTCCCTTTTATACTAAATTATTAAATATTAGCAATTCGCAAAGAGGTCTAGATTTTTCTAATCAAAAGGGGCATTCAAAAAGAGCCCTTTTTTATAATAATTTATTAAATTATAAGTGATTCGCAAAAGGTTTTAGGATTTCTTTATTAGAAAGGGGGGTCTAAGGGGGTCTCCCCTTTATAATAAATTATTAATATAAGTAATTCGCAAAAAGGTACAAGATTTCCTTAATAAAAAGGGGGGTTTAAAGGGGTCTCCCCCTTATAATAAATTATTAAATATAAGTAATTCGCGGAAAGGTATAAGATTTCCTTAGTAAAAAAATGGTTTAAGGGGGTCCCCCCTTTTATATTGAATTATTAAATGTAAGCAATTCGCAAAGGGGTCTAGAGTATCTTTAGTAAAAAGAAGACTTTGCAAGGATTTCCTTTTCATAAAAAATTATTAAAATATAAGTAATTCGTAAAAGGGTTCAAGTCTCTCCGATAAAAAGAAGGTTTTAAAAAGGTTTCTTTTTTATAATTAATTATTAAATAAATTATCCCTTGCGTTAATTACTTTTATATTTATTTAGTTTCTATTATTTTTTAATTTATAATTTACTTAAATATATAAAGATATTTATAAATCGTGTAATTAGCCTGTTGGTGACACTACAAAGAACTTGGTCCTTTGCCCTGGTTAATAAAGACCGCGCTACACTTTGCTAATAGCGACGAAATTGCTAAACGGTTATTATATAGCGTGACTTTATATTATTAGCAAAATATAAATATTTAAATAAAATAAAATCTTACTTATACGTGCTGACGTGCTAATTGCCGAGTGACCTTCTTTATCTTTTTATCGGTAATCGAGACGTATCTATCGCGAAGTATATTATCATTTTCTTCTTTGTTTTTTCGCAAATTAAATTCTTTATAAACCTTTTCGTTTGAATTGAATGCTTTATTAACTTAATCGCTATTCAAGTATTTTCTATTATTGAATCTAGCTATAAAAGAAGCGGCTTGCATAATAAGATTATCCGCGTAAATGCTTCGATTCTTTTTAAAATCGATTAGTAAATTGCTTAATAAATTAAAGAAAAGAAAAAGTACTATTTATTTATAAAATTCTTTCGTATTTCGGCTTATCGAGTTTTCTTTTTAGCTTTTAATGCTTAAGAATATTTTAAAATTTATTTTTAAATTGCAAAAAGCTGATTAGCGGCCGCTTGATCTCGTCTTTTAGCTTTTCGAAGCTTATTTGCTTAAGGATCTTGTTTCAGCTTTGCTATACGAGCATTAGCTTTTATCGTATAAAGATTGGTTGATAATTAGCCTCTCTTTGGCCTTCCTTTTTAAGAAAAATTAATAAATTAATAAAAGTTAAAATACTACGTAAAAAAGATATTTACTTTACGCTTGCTAAAGTTTCTTAGCACCGGATTGCTTGCCGCTACGATTACCGTCGTATCGGCCGCATTTTAAGAAAGACGTTTTTAATTAGTAAATAGATTAATAAATAAAAAAATGATTCTTATTATAGATTTTTTAATCCTTTTTATTAAATCAAGCTGATTTGTATTTGCAATAATACTTTCTATCGAATTAAGTTGATAAGCGGCTATATTAAATAGTATTATAAAAAAGCTAAACGTTAAAAGTAATTGTTTAAAGTAAAATTAAAAGTAATAGAATAAAAGTATTAAGGTTAAAAGTGAATTCGTATATTTTATTTTTAAAACATCTTAGCGCGGCCGCTAATAAATTTACGAAGTGATAAAGCAGCCGCAGCTAAGATAAAGCGGCCGCAGTTAAGATAAAGCGGCCGCCTCGCGCAATTTTTACTTTACAAAGTAAAGTCTGATTTCTTTTTACTATTACTTAATAATTAATTATAATTTATAATTATCGCTTTTTTATTTGCTACGCTTTTAAATACAACGCTATTTATTGCTTTATAAGGTCGTTCTTTTTTTGTTTAAAATTATCAACTTATTGATCGTAAACTAAATTATCGCGATCAAGTCTTTTTATTAATACTTTTAAATAGCTTCTTTATTAAACGAACCTTTGCTTTCGGACCGATTTCTTTTTACCGATATACTAAGCATTACGGCTAAAAAAGATAACGCAAGCTAAGATAAGTTAATTAATAAAGCAATTAAGAATCAAGCGATTAAGGGTCAAGCGGCTAAAGGTTAAGCGGCTAAGGGTCAAGCGGCTGAAAGTTAAGCGGCTGAAAGTCAAGCAAATAAAGACGAAGCATAAGAAAGTGAAGCAGATATAATACGCGGCGAAAGCGTAAAAAAAAAAAACTTAAATTTGCAAAGTAAATAAAGTAAGTTTATATTTAATTAATCGAAGTATTATTAATACTTTTTCAATTACTTTGCTTAGCGCAAATCCTTATCTTTAATCTAGTAAAGCTTAATTAATTACGGATGCGCTAGACTTTATTTTTGCTAAGCGCCGCGTTATTATAACTCGATAGCTATCCGATTAATATTTGATTAGTAAATTGATTAATAAATTAATTGTAAATAGCTGATAAGCATTTATAAAAATTCTTAACTTTACTTTTGTTAAGCGCCGCGCTATTACAACTCGATAGCTATCCGATTAGTATTTGATTAATAAATTAATTAATAAATCAATTGTAAATAGCTAATAAGCATTTATAGAAATTCTTAAAACTCCGCGCGGTATTGCAAGTCTATAATAAAAAACCGATTTATCTTCGTCCTTTTCTCGCCGAATTTCTTAAGGTCAAGCTAATAAGTATTAATTACTTTATTAATTAATAATTGCTAATTTCTATCATTTTAAGTAACGCTTTTCAAATACTAATAAACTCTCGCGCAAATATAAATTAATACTTATTATCTTTTAGACTTCGATCCGATAATGTTTTTAACTTATAATTAATAAATATTTATTAATTAAATTTTTCTTTAACAAACGCAATTAGATTTACTTCGGCTATTCAATCCGAAATGAATAAAAGTATCGTTCTTAATAATATTAGCATAAGTACTAACAGCTTTTAATAAGTTTAATTTTTTTAAACCTTTTTTTTCGTTCGCTAATTATTTTAAAATTGCTTTAAAAGCAATATAACAATCGACGAGTTAAGCGAATGCATCAGCTTAGCTTTAAAACGAAGATCCGTTTTACGACTTAAGTGCTAAAAACAATTCTTTTATAGCTGCTAAACCTTCTTCTGCTTTTATTAGCAATCGCATTAAAAAAGCTTTCGCGCAAAAAGCTTTTAAAAGGTCTCTTATTATCTCGGGCTTAACTATAGCTATAAAAACCGCGACGAAGACGATGCTGTGACAGCCTGCCTTGTTACCTGCAGTC